TCAGGATCGAGGAAATGAATCCCTTAGAGTATCCATGGATACGACACCACACACTCCAGACCGTACTAGCGAATTAACTTTAAAATTTTTTATTTTTGAATCCCATTCCATCTGTCACTAGACTTGAAGGGCAAGGACACAGGAGCAAAAAAAACTGGGTTAGCAATGACAGAGTGATTTTTTTTTCTTTTTGGGATGACAAATAAGGGCCCGTCCAGTAGGTGTGGCACTGCCATCTGCTTGCCGTTGCAGGTTGGTGATCTGTCCAGAGAGAACAGCTCATGGGGAGAGGGGAGGTGGGGGGGGGGGGCGGCAGCCACGAGGTTTGAGCTGAAACCAGAGGGCAGGAGACACACCGCAGCCACCTGCCCGTCTGATCGGATAATGAGGAGAGATTGGGAGGCGGAAGTCGAGTCCGAGGACTGCCGTCGGAGTGCGGAGCAATCTTTTCCGAAGGGACACGGCAATCTGGTGCCGGTGGCGAGGCGATTTCAGCGCTCATTACCCCCGGAACCATTAGGAAGATACAGTCATCCTTGGCTCCCCTCTGACGTCACCTAATTTAACACTAAACTGCACCGTTTCAAAATGGAAATGAAATTACACCCTCAGCTAAAAGCGCCATTAAAGGTACAGCCATGAGCAGTTGTGTCTATCCAGGGCAGATGTGACTACAAAACAATCCTAGTAGAGGAGCACCTCCAGTTACACCTATGAAGTTACGGCCATCAGTGACTGAGGTCCAGGTAGGCATCCGAAAGGAAGAGGCTGTTCACAAGTAATGGGAATGGTCATTTGATCATGTTTCTCCGGCTAAGCTTCTTCTCGAAATGGACAAAAGCACTCTACAGTACAACGCTCACTTAAAATTTTGCATCTTTTGCTTCTCTGTTTGTCAAGGCCAAGTACTTCAGAGACGCAAGAGAAGCCATTAACCTTTTCTGCTGGACATGTGGCAAAAATTTCATGTTTTTTTTTTTCCCCCTGAATCTCCGACTTTGTAGTTATAAAGGCCAGGCTGCAGAACATTTTTGCCACAGTGAACTTTTACATTCAAATATAGTACAGAGAAAATCACATCAAGACTGGGAAAATCCCCTAGTTTTATAACCTCAAAAAGAACAAAAAGACGAACTGAGGTCTGCACCATCTCAGCCTGTATCATCCGCAAGCCCCAGAGCGAGAAGCAACTGCACAAGCCACCAAGCTTAAATTCACTCTCTGTGGGATGGCAGCGGGAATGTCATCTGATGATCATCTCTCTTGAAACAGATTTTATAAACAGCCACGATAGAGTGTGACATTCGGCTTTCAAGACCTGTTACTCCACAGCAAATCCTCTGTGCACAAGGTCAAGACTAGCAGCAGCAGATACAACAGGATAGGATTTCATCCATGACTTCACTCATTGCTTTGGGTCTGAGGTGACTGCCTCATCATGATACCTGGGTTATTGTGGGCATAACCCACAAAATGTTAACAAAGACGTTGATGTCTAAAACACACTCAACATTCCTCTGATTTACAGTTGCCAATTACAGTAGGTCTTTCTGACCTCTAAACAAGTGCCCAAGCAGATGTTATGGTGCCAAGCTAAAGGAGTTCAACACTAAATAGAATGATGCAAAGGCAAAGATAGGTAACAAAGATCACTACTACCGTATCAGCTCACAAATTACACCTTTTCTTGCAGATTAGATAAAAAAAAAAAGAAAAAACTACCTAGCCACAACAGATATTCCATATTTTCAAGTCAGATAATGACCTCCAGCAAGAATACATTCCAAAATGATTAATGCAAATACTGACTGGGTACTATTTGGGTATTTCAGACAGATGATATTTCACATATAAAATGTTGCAATATTCTTTCATAATCAAGAAACAAAGTGGCAGAATGGTCAGCAGCACCATAAGAGCAGAACCCCTTTGGAAAATATGGTGGAATTACTCTGAACAGTACATTACCGTCTCTTCAACTGTGGCTGTACTTGAGAAATTGTTTGGAAAATCTGAGTTTTCAACTAATACAGATTTGAACTATTCCAAAGCACCGCAGCATGAACGGTCCTCTATTTGCAACCACTAACCGACACACACATAAATCAGCTGCATTTAACAATTTATCTTAATATACATCAGGCAAGAAACATATGCAGATAAGATTAAACCAAATTCAAGGTTAAAACAAAAGGTGATTTTTGGGAGGGAGAGAAACAACCAAATTTTAAAAGATTCAAACACGGTGACTGTCAGAATGGCGGCCTGGAGAATCTACATTTCATTTCAGGTGACATTTAAGTTACACTGAAAAGATTTAAAACATTTTTTGTCCAAACTGCTATGTCAATCCTATCTGTTCCAGACCAATGCTGTGTGATAGGCTTTTCTATGGATTAAAACTCAGTATGACCTTCTTTCGTTTTTGTCATTCACGTGAGCACACATTCGGTGTCTATATGTGATGTACATAATTAATAATTATCATAAAATCAGACACCAAAACACTGAACACTTTTTAAAGCTTTGACACATCACATTAAACTATATTCAGTTGAGGTTTTGTGAGGAACGAACTCGTTTTAAAAGTAAACGACACCCGTATTCTGTAACATTGAATAAATATGGCCATCAATAAGCAGACTGCAGTTTACTTTTGCAAGAACCGCCTAATGAAAGAGTTAACTGTATGGAAAGCGTATCAATATCAAACTGCCTCGTGGCTTCGCCATATAAAAGTACACAGTAAAAGTTGTTGAAAAACACCGAAGTCAAATTACCCTTTTAAATCACAATGTTCATGTGAAAACCATGACACACATGAACTCCTACTGTATATATATGGAATCTTCATGCTGCACAGGCTCCGTGGTCGGGGTCTAGCTGACTACCAGGTAATCTCAAATCAACAGGATCGTTTATGGTTATCTTATAATGAAACAGCTAAACTTTATGTATCTTACCATTTCATTTGTTTGCCTACCGCTTTACCTACGCAACACAGAAACCAGATGAGATATTTCATTATTCGGAAAAAAGGAGAAAACTCCCTTCTGGCATGCTTGTTTAATACATATTGCTAACACAGATACTGTTGTTTTGGTTCATGCGTCTGATGATGAAAAAAGACTAAACAAAATGGGTTGTTGTGGTTAGATACAGGTACCTGTATGTTTGGTTCCCAGTGAGGTTATATACTAGCCTATAGCCTACTGTATATCGACGAGGATAAGCATCGGTGTTTCTGCAACTGTATAAACTGCTGTTTAAGTCGTGATATTGCACAGTATGATATGACATATTCTAAGAAGTATTACATTTGCAGACCCAACTTAATCGCTGTATTTTAAAACCCACTTAACGACCTATAGGTTTTAATTCTAAGGTATTCGTTAACTAATTTACTGGGCAAGATGACTTAATTGAAAACATTTGATGTTATCTCCATTAAATTTGTTCGCCCATTGCAAAAAAGGCAACGCGTTGTTAATTGCTCATTAGTGCTTTCAAATATCAAGTCTCCGCTTTTAACAGACCATCATTAGAGTTACCGAAAAACCATATATGCTATGAAAACGAAAGCCAAAAAAGTTGATGGCAATAGCATATATTAACACAAATCACTACAATGATCGTATATTGACCTTAAAGAATGGAGCTTTTGCAATCTTGCTTAACCAAAATTACATTAGGTGAACAATTGAACTCGTTTGTTTGACCGTTTAACTCCAAAATCAAAATAATCTGATGCGTTTATATTACAGATCACAAATGCCATTGTCAACTATGTGTAGTTTACCCTCTATATTACGATTAATTTCAAACAAATTATCGAGAAAAAAAAAACTCAAAAAACAAAAAGACCACCCATTATTTCAAAATAAAGGACCTCTGATGGTGATTTCGGAATAAATGACTGTAATCGCTCCCCGAATGATGAATTCGGTGATGGGTTTTAGAATGAACATGAACAAACAGATCTGGCGTCTTTTCCCCTTATAAACCAGACAAATAACGGCAATCTCTGTCCACACTGGCGTTCCTTCTCCAAGCTGTTCGGTCTTCCCATAAAAATAAACTCTAGTGTCCGCAGAAGTTGCATGCAGTGTTTCACGTAGCTTGTGGTCGAGCGCAGTTCACAGCGTTCATATCGGCATCGTTTTAAAATGATTCAAACTGGTTATTCATAAATATAACAGCGAAGTAGCACAGCATGGGTCTCAACAAAACCTCTGGACGTCCTAACGACGACGTTCAGTGAGAAACACATAAAAAAGTAGCCGTGAAGGTTAACGCATAAAGTAAAATAACCTAACTCTTTGCAGAATTCCCGTACCTATCATTATTTTTTCCTATGAATTTTGGTGCTACTCATGTCTGCGGGTAACTGTATAGCTGTATACCCCCCAAGTACATTTGTATACAACGTCTTTAATATCAGAAATAGTACTTAAATTGTATTGTCGTCATATTCACTATAGTTCACTACATTTTTCTCCCTTAAGACATTATTTAATTGTCATTATAAGATTATTAAATCAGTCTGCCACTGGAAATCAGTTAAAAATTAATTAAAAGAAAAAAAAACTGGACTAGGCTACTTGTCTTTAACGCGATGTTATTTAACATTTGAAAATGCATGTTGTTGGTTTGACACTGAAGAGTACCTGAGACGGCTTTGGCGATGTATTGACAGTCCGCACTACATTCACAGTGCCCTACAATCAAAGAAACTGCCGGCAGACTCGCTATACAACGTAGAAACAGACGAATGTAACAACTTTAATCTAAAAAACAAATGCATTTGCACCAAACGCACAAAAAGAAAGCCGTATATACTAAAGCGATGAAATCCACACACTACGGGGGTCTGTGACATGTATCGTACGCATGAAGTTTGCAGCTGCAGCAGCTTAGTCTGTAGGATAACAAGGCAATAACATGCACGAAAAAAGCGATGATCACAGCATAAAACACACTTAGAAGGATCGGGCCATTACCTTGTTCGTTTAGCTTGGTTTTGTTAAAAGAACGATGCAGGTTTGTAAGTCGGGGAGACAATCCTTGTGTTTCGGCACAGACACACAAGCGCAACAGTGGGAACCGAGGCAAGACAATAAATTTCAGTCCCGCAGAGGTTTGTAATCCCTAGAACGCAGAAGCCCCAGAGAAAGACCGCCCCTCGGCACGGCGCTGACCCGCACACGGCCAAGGTGTAGCTTTCGTCGGGCTGCGAGCGAAGCGCACGCCGGCGAATGGCAGGGGTAGCCGGGGCACGCCCTCGTCGTTTGCATTAACAACCCGGCCCGACCAATTACAGAGCCACGGCAAGTGGCCGTCCCTGTTTGAAATAACATGTATGATCCATAAATGTACCTATTTGCATCACCCCGCCTTAATTTAATATAGGGACGAAATACGATCGCCGGACTGTCTGTGAAAAGCAGGAGACTGCAACAACTATAGTGCTGTGTACAGAAAACTTTAAACATGCCATTGTGTGTTATTATCCGTTATCCCCAGTCTAAGACTTATAATTCTTTAATAAAACGGCTAGTTTTCATGGCTGAATATGTCGAGCTCCACTGACTTTCAGTAACTCTGGTAGTATTAATTACCAACATTAACTATACTCCCTACCAAGGGCATAACTTTGGGTTGAACATTGGGGGGGAGGGGGTTGAGATATCCGCCCATTTAAATGGGTCCAGGGGGTTGTATTGGCTGGTTTTCATTATTGGGGGAGGAGTGGGGGGTGGTGGTATATAATGTATGCTCTTGCTCCCTACACAGTACATCCATCATCTTACAGTTAGAGGAAACGTCAAGGATACTTAAATATACAAGCTGATAAATGTATCACCCTGTTACACAATAACTAAATAGCAGCTTATGTTCTATTTCTATCAACCCCCCCCGCGCAAAAAAAAAAACATTATGAGACACTCAAGATGCTTTGTGTAATTTTAGTTGACCTGCAGAAGAGAAAGATTACTTTCATAGCAAATTCAAAGTGGCAGGTCTGAGATTTGTATTTTAAACACCAGTCGCAAAGCTGTATTTTACGAAATCATATATTAGAACATAATTTTGTGAACCTATGTACATTTCTTTGTAAAATATAGGTAGTGAAATTTGGGTATAACTGCACAACAATCTGAACAATTTCAAAAACCAAAAGAAAATAGAACAAGCAAAAATGCACTCTATATGTGTTCAAAGTTTATCTTGAGTCCTCTCTGGTAAATCTTAGAAACACATGCAGGTCCCTATTAAACAAACTTCCAGGCAGTTTTTAAAAGTAACATTTTGTACCTTCGAGGGGACAATTACTTGTCACTGGGGCTGTACCCTCAAGGTTCTGCCAATTGCACCCTTAGCTGTAGGTAATTGTACCTTTTACGGTAGAGAAATGAACTCTGAGGAACATTTTTGTACCATTGGGGGTACATTAATGTTGTTTGTACCTAGGGGTACAGAATTGTACCAGGGCTGTACCCCTTTTCTGATAATGTAGTAATCTCCAGATTGCGGGGGAAAAAATGTATGTGCATTCTCAGAGTGAGGGGAAAGACTGTAACGTTAAATGCTGCACAGCATGTAAATCATCAGTCCGTACTGATTTGAAAATGCGGACAAAATAATAGGAACAGGTTGATTCTCTGGACATACTGCTATTCCCAATGCAGAAAATATCCACAGCCAGCTCATGGAGAGACCATCCATCTAGCCCAGCAAGGACACGGTAGAAGGTAGAGGAACACTGGACGA